TGAACAGCCAAAATGTAACCATAACTAAATCAAAAATAGCACTAGTGGACAGACTGTATGATATTCAGTTTCTGCTATGATGTGTCCTGAATTCACAATAGCTGGTGTGAAGTGACAGTTAATAGCCAGTTTGTAGTAAAGATTATTGCTGAGCTTACTGTTCCCATTGAGTCAGTCCCCTTCATTTAATTCCCTTCAGTCAGGTAGCTCTTCTCTTCTCAGCCCAAGGTGGCTGGAGATCATTCTGGGAGGATGAGTCTATCTTTTTCCTTTGATTCCCAATTTATTTTTCTCAGTCTTCTCTCCTGACACTAACCCTTTCTCAAAGCTCTGTCATGAATACCTTGGTGCCATTTATTACAAGGGCTTCAGCTACTCTGCAGTACCTTCTCAGGGGCACTGTCTTGGCCTGCAACAAGCCTGGTGTAGTTTACTACATGTAGGCTGAGTAGTGAGCTATCTTGCATTTATCACCAGATAAGGTGGTACCCAAATAGTTGCTACAGAATAGCTGATACACGGCAAGTCTACACCCCTAGGTCACTTTGTAGTAACTGGCGATGTGCTGACTGTCTTTGGCTAGGGACAGACATTCAAAAAGCCTGAATTGATTCAATCTTTGCAGGTTGGTCTAACCTGGCGAGGTTGAACTGGTTTTCAACTGCACAGACATGCCCTTTGGACTGAAGAAATGCAGCCAGATGCCTGCAGTGGCACAGGCTAGAAGCTAGGGGTCGCTAGAGCAGCCCTCCATTCCTTCCATAGTACTGAGCTGGGTGGAGGGCTGTGTCCAAGCCCCAGCAGGATGCTGTGATTAGGGAGGGGTTCCCCCCACCCTTCCCCCTGGTTCTGACTAGGGAGAGAGCCGGCAGGGAGTTGATAACAGAGCATTTAGCACCCCATCAAGAAAACAGAAGCCTCTCTCATTAGTTCAAGCTCTTTTTAAACAACTTTTTCCAAGAAAGGAACAGAGGGACATTATTAGCTGACCTGCTGATTGGCTCCAAAAAGCCGTAAGTGGACATGGTCTTGTCTGCCTTACACAGACACCTCTCAGCATTAGCTAGCATATCACATGCTGGCTATGTGGGAGAGCATTGTGGGGATCCCTGTTTGAGCATGGAGTGGTGATAGGTGGGGGAAGGCAGGAAGATGCTGCTGTGCCTTCAGTCTCTGTTGGAGCTCTAGCTAGGGAGCAGAGGGGCAGGGCCAGCCCTGATGTGGAACAGAGAGCCCTGCCCAGGGCTGCAAAGCATCTCGGATGCTGGGGGACTCTGATTTAAGTTAAACTAGGAAGGGGTCTGGGACAGACATTGCATAAACTGATTTGACCCAAATCGGTTAAGTCTGATACTACATTCAACCAGGTTTATCTCAAACCAGTTTCAGCCATTTTCAAACTGGTTTATGTGCACTGAACATCTGTTCTGTTACAGGTTTAAACCAGTTTCTAATCACTTAAACTGGTTAATATGTAATGTTTGTCCCTAGCCTTTATTTTCTTTCCTCAGGGGAAAGTGGCTATATTATAGTACTGTGTTCTCAGCTCTGGATTTGGTACACAGATAATAAAACATGCTATGACTGAAGTGTATTATGACCTGTTTAATAACCACTTGGGATGTAGAAAATAATGCCTTATCCCACCTGCTTGTTTACAGATATAAGTGACCTAAACACTCATACTTTATTGGTAAATAATGCCAGCTAGTTTCAGTATTTTTTCTGTGACCCGTCATGTTTCATAAGAGGTTTCATTTGTGCAGCTGCTATTTCCATGCAGTTGTCCTGTTGCATATATGTGATTTCTGCAATTAGTTAACTCAGTGTTATCATGCTTTTGTCTGGGATGTCTCCATAGTAAATGGTGTAATTTCATTTGTGGAGTGCATTTCATAAGTATGTATGATAATTTTTATTAAGTAGAATTAAAGCAAGTAAATGGGTATTTTGCGTCATTTTTTCACAAGTCCTAAGGGATGGCCCTGCTCAGTACAGTACAGGACAGCCAGGGTGAGGGAGAATTGTTACCCTTCATCAATGTAGACCATGTGAAGGAACACCTTGAGAGGTTGGACGCCTTCAAGTCAGCAGGGCCAGACAGTTTACACCCCAGGGTACTTAAGGAGCTGGCAGGCATCATAGTTCAGCCACTGTCATGGATCTTCGAGAACTCGTGGTGCTCAGGTGAGGTGCCCAAAGATTGGAAGAAGGCCAGTGTGGTGCCTGTCTTCAAGGAAGGGAGGGAAGTAGATCCTGGGAACTACAGGTCTATCAGCCTGACCTCTATCCCAGGGAAGATCTTGGAAAAAATTATCAAAGAGACCATTCTTGACAAAATGGCTGATGGCAACATCCTGAGGGATAGCCAGCATGGGTTTGTTGTGGGTAGGTCTTTGCCTGACCAATCTCATCTCCTTCTATGACCAGATAACATATCACCCGGACAAGGGAGAAGAGATTGATGTCATATATCTTGATTTAAAACAAGTCTTTGATCTGGTGTCCCATGATCATCTCATGGAAAATTGGCCAACTGCAGTCTCAACTACATTACAGTCCAATGGCTGGGGAATTGGCTCTGAGGTTGGTTCCAGAGAGTGGTAGTCAACAGAAGTAAATCATTGTGGTGCACCATGACTAATGGGGTCCCCCAAGGCTCCATCTTTGAACCTATACTCTTTAACATCTTTGTTAATGATGTGGACCTTGGTTTCAGACGCGGACTGGCCAAAGTTCGCTGATGACACCAAACTTTGGGGCAAAGCGTCCACACGTGAGGACAGGATGGTGATCCAGGCTGACTTAGACAGGCTCAGAAAATGGGCAGACAAAAATCTGATGACATTCAACACTGAAAAATGCAAGGTACTCTACCTTGGGGGAAAACCCCCCTGCAGCATGCTTATAGGCTTGGCAGTGCTACACTTGCTAGCACCACGGCCAAAACGGACTTGGGAGTCATAATTGACCACAAGATGAATATGAGCCACCAATGCGATGTCACAGCTGGTAAAGCAAGCAAAACACTGGCTTGTATCCATAGATGTTTCTCAAGCAAATCCCAGGATGTCATCCTCCTGCTGTACTTGGCCTTGGTGAGGCTGCAGCTGGAGTACTGCATCCAATTCAGGGCTCCACAATTTAAAAAGGATGTGGAGAAGCTTGAGAGAGTCCAGAGGAGAGCCACACACATGATCAGAGGGCAGGATAGAGCAGGCCTTACAATGAGAGGCTCAGAGCTGTGGGACTCTTCAGCCTGGAAAAGCGCAGGCTCAGGTGGGACCTGGTGGCTGCTTATAAGTTTATAAGGGGTGTACATCAGGACCTGGGGGAATGTCTGTTCACCAGAGCACCCCAAGGGATGACAAGGTCAAACAGTCACAAACTCTTCCAAAACTGTTTCAGGTTGGACGTAAGGAAAAACTTCTTTACTGTCTGAGCCCCCAAAGCCTGGAATAGATTGTCTCCAGAGGTGGTGCAAGCACCTGCTCTGGACTCCTTTAAGAAACATTTGGATGTTTATCTTGCTGGGATCCTTTGACCCCAGCTGACTTCCTGCCCCTGGGGCAGGGGGCTGGACTTGATGATCTTCCAAGGTCACTTCCAGCCCTAATGTCTATGAAATCTATGAAAAACCACCATGCTTCAGTTTACGTAACTGAATCAGCTGCACTAGTTTGAGATTTATAATTAGGCTCATAACTGGAAGTGAGGTAGGCAGCAACAGAAAAATACATGTATTGAAGAAAGTTGGATTTGACAGCCGTACATAATGTAACCACAAGCAATTTGCATAATTCATGTGTAATAATTTAACACGAGTGTCAAACATGTCTCAGATTGGTTACTTTCTTTTTACCCTGGTTGTGGATATCAAATTTTATAATATTTTGCTGGACTCAACATGTAAATAAGCCAGATATTTAAAAAATATAGTATAAATGATAAAACAAAGTGCTAGTGGGAGCAGGCATTGTGCCTGTATTACAGTTGTGTCAACAAATGTTTTACCCTTTTCTGCAATATTTGGATCCTATTTCATGAACATCCAAGGTGTAGTGGCTATCAATAAAAGGAAATCTGACGTATCTCTAATTCAAGTAGTGCTTAACCTTCTATATTTTTGCTCATAATAATATGGTGGTGTTATTTAGTGCCCTAACCTGCTTCCAGGTTAGTGGACATTTCCTCATGTTAGCTGTGGGAGAGCCTGGAAAGTTCATGAGTGAATACGATGTATAACATATAGAGAAGGAAAGGCTAACTTGCATGCTGAAAAAAACTTGCCATATATTGTGGGAGACAGTGGAGAGACTCCTTATCAGCAGAGGGATATGAAAGAAGAAGACTCACAAATGAGGTTTAGGATTAATTTTTTAAATGTACATAGGCATTCGCATAGCATTCATCAACAAACTACTAGAATATCTTTAATTCCTTTCAGTGCCCAAGTGATTATTTTTAAATAGTTCCTTAATGCGAACAAGTTTGCTTAAAAGCCAAATTTGCATATGAATATAACTTAAATATAACTTACAGATGTGTGTACCCCCTTGCAAAAACCCTGGCAAGCTTCTATGAATATACAAATCAGTTTCCCGTATACCATCATCTCCCACAAATAATACTCCTGAAAATAAATGTTGAAATGATTCACTAGCTTCCACATAGTAAAGACACTGTGAAATAAAAGACTAAAGTAAAGATGCAGTGTTGCATGTAGATTATCTGGTTCTGAGCTTAATTACTTCTGTGACTATTTTAAAACTGGTTTTCTACCTTTTGTATGTGCTCATGGGATCTAACCTGTTATGTCAGTGACCATCCACCTTTTGACACTCCTGATTAGTTTTGAAGAGATAATTGGGAGTCTGTTTTGTTAAACAGTTTCTACTTTATGCCAAAGTAAACTAGCAGTTTCAGTGTTTCCAATTAGCATTACTACAGTCTCTATTGCTGGCCTTTTTCTGAATGTGTGTTTTTCATCTTCCTTACAGTAATTGCTTAGAAATGATTGTCATATAAGAAGCTGGCTATGGCAAACAGGAAACGTCAAAACACCACAGCCAGCATGCTGGATCACAGAATGCGAGCTTGCCCTACTTCATCTCACAACAGGGAGCCAGAAACTGAGGAAAATGACCTACCTATTGAAGATTATACAGCAAAGGAACCTGAGCTAGCAACTTTTCGAGAAGCTAGCCCTACCCCAGTGGAACAAGAGTGCAATGATAATAGTGGAGATGGTGACTCTAGCTCTGATTATGTTAATAATACCTCTGAAGAGGAGGACTATGATGAAGGCCTGCCAGAGGAGGAGGAAGGGATCACATATTACATTAGGTACTGTCCAGAGGATGACAGTTATCTGGAAGGAATGGACTGCAATGGGGAAGAGTATGTTTCCCATGAAGAACATAATGTGGAAACTGATGAATGTCAGGAGGCTGTGGAAGAAGAATGGGCTGAAGCTAAAATCCAGCACCAAGATGACAGTGAAGTGGCAGAAGGTCAAGACTACCAAGATAATGGTGTTCAGATTTTGGAGGATGAAGTGTCATCTTTGGAGATTCAAGACCAAGAAGTAAACATACAATACTGTCAAAGTGAAGAAAGCTATCAGGACTATTACCCACCAGAAGCTAATGGAAACTCATGTGGGGTATCACCCTACCATGCTAGAAAAGAAGATGCTGAACTGGAAGAGCAGGAAGAAGATATTGACCAAATTGTAGCTGAAATTAAAATGAGCATGAGCATAAGCAGCATTAATAGCATGACAGAGATGAGCCCTGAGCATGCCGGGACTGAAAATGTGCCAAGTGAATATAAAGACACTTCTCCAAAAGGAGATGCTGGTCATGCAGCCAACAGACACGAAGGGAGACCAAAATCATTGAATATTCCACCTGCTTCTAAGCATGTTGGAGACATGCCAAGAGGTTTTAAAACAAAGTCAAGAACTCCAGAAGACAGACCGAAGTTGCCACAAGAACAGGTATGCAACTCTGCTTTTTAATAAGAAAACATTATATAGAGGAGTTTGCATTCTCTGTTAGGTTACTTTTAGGACAAACATAAACATTTTCCACCATATTCTACAACAATTGTAAACCAGTTCCCAATCAGTGACACTTTGGAATGGTTCAGTTGTTGTATGTGTCTGCACTCTACAAGTATTTTAAAATTTTAAAGGTTTAATATGTGATATCCAAAGTATACTTAATAAAGAAAATTTACTCATTAGTGTGTTCAACAAAGATAATTGTTTACACCTGTCCATAAGCATTGTTTGGTAACTGAGAAGGCAAAATACTTTAAAGAAGGATTATTTATTAGCAAGTAAGCTCCTAGACATCCTTAATATATAATGATGTAAAGTAGGTTTTGTCCCTTTGTTGCCCTGTGGGGTCAGGCCAACTCTCAGGATCTCAATGTTGCACCGTTAGACAGGAAGGCGTGGTGTACCATAGAATCATAGAAGTAGGGTTGGAAGGGACCTTGTAGATCTTCAAGTCCGACCCCCCGCCTGGATGGGAGAAGGCATCAAGCCTCTTCTTAAAGACCCCCAGGGTAGGAGCCAGCACCACTTCCCTTGGAAGTTGGTTCCAGCTCCTAGCCGCCCTAACTGTGAAGTAGTTCTTGCGGATGTCTAATCTAAACCTACTCTCCAATAATTTGTGTCCGTTATTCCTTGTTATGCCAGGGGGGCTAAGGGGAAACAGTGTCTCCCCTAAACCCTTCTGGTCCCCCCTAG